CAGCGGTAACTACATGGTGGTTTCGTTAGAGCATATCGCGGTAAACCTATATTGCGGTATGACATACCGCGATAAAATGCGGTTTATTTCGCACACCGCGGTCTCCAAAGATATAACCGCGCTCGTTATCAAAAAACCGCGTCTAACAGCGGTATCTACTTAAATATTTTTCCGTGGGCGGAGCGACTCATCAGAACAGTGGAGCTGGAGCGGAGTCGGAGCGACTTTTTTTCGCCTAGACCGGAGCTAGAGCGAGTCAGAGTGGAACGGGAGCGGAGTCGGAGCGGCCTTTTTTTGTCTAGCTCCAATCGTGCGCTCCTTTTCCGATTAATTTCGATTATAATTGATTAAAATTTGATAAAAAATCGATTTTAATTGATTTTATTCATGATTCATGAAAAATCTTCAGCTGGCATTCATCGATCTGCATGAATCGAAATCAATTTAGTTAATAAAATTTTAATATTTTTTTATCCCTAAGATTTCTACATGGTTTTTCTGTGAACGAAGACGGGGAATTAGTGAAAGAAAAGCTCGTCGTCTAGTATTCAATGTTAAGAATATGTCATTGTTACATTTTAATCAATGACAACGCTTGAGATAATGACTGACTGTTCATTTAGTTGATTTTTCTTTGACTGATTGAACTCCGCTGTTGTTAGTTTGACAATGTACAAACACAACGCCGACGAAAAGAGAAAATTAAAGCAAATAAATTGTGAGAGAATTGAGTAACGATAGAACAGAACAACATTTTTCGTTCAACTGATAGTTGAAAGAACAAACTAGGGTGTGGGTCTTGATTTTTATCACATCTTGAACTAAACTAAACCCACATCCACTCTCTAAGAATGTGTTCTCAATGTTAACTTTACTAAAATGCAATCGACAATTATTGTACTTAACTAGTCTATTTATCATCAGAAATAATTTTCATGTTGTAATAAAGTTAACTTAAAAGTATTGACGATTCACTTTTTGTTAAATGTATTGATAATTAGTTTTTTGTTAATTATATTATTAATGATTGTTTTCCTATATTCTCTATTTATATATATATGTATGCTGAGGTAAAAAATGAAATTCATTGAATATTATCTAACTTCAAGAAAAATAAGGAAAAAGGCTTTTTCGTTAAAGCGGAGCTGGAGCGAATCAGAGTGGAGCGGGAGCGGAGTCGGAGCGGTTATTTTTGATTCGGACCGGAGCTGGAGTGGAGCTGGAGCGAGAAATGGTCGGAGCTGCCCATCTCTTGTCCCAGACAGTACTGAACGAATTATATAGTTAAAAAAAACACGAAATTTGCTACCATTGATTTCTTTTTTTAGGTGAGGATTTCATCAGAATTTATCCCCTTAAAGGACTGGAATCCTATTTATCATCACACTCTTTGTATTTTAAGAAGAAATTCTTTGAGAAATCTTTTCAGAAGTAAATTATTGCTCTTTTCGAAGCGCATCTTATATTCCTCATGTGTATCTAATAATTCCATAACAGCGTATACAACTTACATGATTAATTAAATAACATTCTACACTAAATATCTTAATTCAATTAATGTATCCTCTCCTATATATGCGACAAAGTGATCCCAACGAATTGTCGTGCAACGAATTGTACTAGTGCCGAAGTATATAGGGTATACATTTGAACTCACCCCTCCCCCACAGACAGGGACAGATAAATAAATTATTAAGCTAATTGGTTAATTAATTAATTATTTTCTCTGTCACACTCTGTGATGCTCTCTGCCGACTTCATCGATCAAAATGCAGAGTGTGATCGAAATGCTGCATATATAATTACATACAGTGGCAGAAAAGCTACAAAGGCTCACAGACCGTCGTGGACAAGGTTCCAGCGAAGGAGTCCAATCGTGTTTCACATTTTAACCCCACAGGGATTGCGCTAGCAGCTTTTTCATTATGACTTAATTCTTAAGATAGATACTCATCTTTCTCTAACGTTTTCATGATGAATAACGACTATATTTCTCTAAAATAACAACAATCATATGACTCTTTTGTTAATTTTTGTTGTCAAGTTCAGTGAAAATGTTTCACTTGTCCCCAATAGAATTCATTCTAACACTTTATGTTCATATTACATAGCCTATCTTTCTTATGCAAAACATTTTCGTTGAAGTCTCAGACAAGACTCTAAATGGAGAATGAGGCATGACGTAGACCAAAACTATGATCGATATCGATGTCTCATTAGTCGAGTTGCTGTATTGCAACGAAATCGAGGTTTCGATTTCAGTGGGGTTTTATTTGTGTGAGTAGCTTCCCTTCAATCCCATGCACCTTTATGCGTACCTATCCCACACCCCATACGGATACCCATCTTTTTTATTTTTAATCATTGCGTATTCAGAAATCAAAAGATGGCTTCATTTTATAATGCGTTCTATATAAGTGAAATTTATGAAAAATTGTTCACAAAGAATGTTTTTTTGATCGGTAAATATTTGTCTCTTGATAAAACAGGAATATGGGGTTCATGTGGGAGTCAATAGTGATAATGACGTGCTGCATTTCCTTTGGCAGCCAGAATGGCTTGCGATATGTCAATCGCAGCCATGGGCGCGTCTTGGATTTTGAAAGTAACATTTTCATTACCACCTCCAACTGCAAATTGAAGAATTTTTGGTCGGTCACCACAACATGAAGCGCAGCATAACTGACAAAGAAATAGCGGCCATGTGCATGTCAGACAAGCAATTAATAAAGGCAAACATCTACACGAGGTAGTGTTAGCAGCTTCACGCATGATTTGAATGTCTTCCAGAAAGATAGCAGAATCAGCATGTGTTTTGCAGCAGCACCCAGTCGATTGTTCACTGCGTATAACCAATCGCTGATTAGTCAAGGCAACAGTTGTTTGTGGTCCACAACAATTCGAGCAGCCCTCTCTACATTCATAGTATTTGAGCACGTCTTCACTAGGAACCACAGAAAACGTGTTTGCAAAATGTTGTCCGCTTGGTTGGACGACGTTAGGTGGCCTAACCAACAAATGTTCAATCATAGGCCTAGAACTGATTTTATTGCTACTTACATCTTAATTTTTGAAGGATAACCCGAAGCCGAATAACGTTTATGCTACCTAATCCCACAATCAGGTTAAATTTCACGGATTCCAGCTTAAAGAATTAAAATTAGAAAGAGGGCATAATAAAAATTGCAAGTTAAATTTCAAAATCTCAAATTCAATAACAATGGCAGCAGTTATTTAGTTAGCCATTGGAAATCCAGTCAGCCACTATAATAACAAAACACATCTTAGGGCGGCATTGAGGGTATATATTTTTGCAATATTTTTGCTCATTTAGATAGTTTGTTAACATAAGAGATTCTTATTCAGTTATCCATCATAGTTCGAAAGCAGAAAAATACCTGCCGACGTTGTCTATCTTGCGTATATGCTTACAAGACAAAGATCTAGGAGTTGTTTAGGAATGATACCTTAACCTAGAGCCTTAAAAACTAAGCGTACCATTATCTTATTCTACGCAATCATCACTTATTTTATATGTTAGACCTGTAGAATTTACCGTGGAGTTAGCGAGTCTATGTGAAATTCCATTTCAGGCTGAATTCAAAAAAGAAAAAAATACCTACACTTTCCGCAACACCAGGGGTTTAGAGGATCCTATAGCACCTGTCAACAATTCGGGCACACGACAAGGAATCCAATTTCTTCACCGAAATTTCACAATGATCTCTTCAGCTTCGACACTTTACATGCACAAACCACCGCTAATCCAGCTAACCGAATTCCTGGTTATCCAAAAGCAAGAGGTATTCAGTCTAATTCTTATTTCATATATGTATAAGTCCCACCATGGATATTTTTTTTTCGGATGGGGGGACTTAGCTTAAAACCAGTTGATTTCTGAATTCTGATGTGTGTAAGTCTGCCCATAAAAAAAGCATATCGAAAAGAGGGATAATACATCTTATTCCGCAATGTTGAACATTCCGGAACCAGTGCCACTCACGGAGCCAACTTCATATAATTCCGGCGATTCCGTTTATCCGTTCCTACTCAATTCCGAAATTACAAAGAATGCCTAGGAATTCCGTCTGCTTCCCGCCATCCCGAAATTCAGTGCACCCGCGCTGACATCCACACCCACACCCACACCCTCGCTTTTGAGTTCGAACTTTGTGCAACAGATAGGCCACAATGTAGTATGGAAAAAACCCAAAAGATTAAGTGCCCATAGGTCCTCTGTCCAAAGTTATAGGCATTTTACTGAAGTTTTAACCCATTACACGGTATATGCCAAAAAATCGAATGATAGTATTTCGACCTGCGATTTTGTCCAGAGGCAGGTCTTTTTATGAGTAGAATGTCCTGAAAATTTCAGTCGAAAAGGGCGTTTCCTTACTGAGACATTTAGGTCCCAAAAGAACAGAAAATTCTAGCATCTTTTAGAGAATATGAATCATTTTTGGGACATAAATACCTCAGGAAGCAAACACCCTTTTCGGCTGAAATTTTCAGGACACTGTATTCATAAATAGACCCTCCTCTGGGAAAAACTCAGGTCGAAATACTATCATTCGATTTTTTGGCATACAGCGTGTAATAGGCTAAAACGTCAGTAAAATGCCTATAACTTTGGACAGAAGGCCTATGGGCATTTCATCTTTTGGGTTTTTTCATACTACATTGTGGTCTATCTGTTGCACAAAGTTCGAACTCAAAAGCGATTGGACAGCTAAAAACGTTCCCTCGTTAGTTTCGGAATTCACGGAACTAATTCCAGGGGGCAGAACTGGTTCCGAAATGTTCGACACTGCGCAAAATAATGACTGCTCATATGGGGGACTTTCACACATGATTTCAGAATTCAGAATTCGTGTTTGAAGTGGATTATTCGAAAGATCCCCTAGTTCCTCATTTCTTTCGTGAAACACAATCGGAAAGAAATATTGAAGTATATAGGGTAGAAATTTCGACACATCCCCGCCCCCTCAGAGCGGGACAGAGAAATTAATTAATCAGTTAGCTGGTTAATTAATTAATTTGTCTATCACTGACTGTAATGGGTTCTGAGATCTCTGTCACGGCCTATTATGGTCTCTAAACTCTCTGTAACGATCCGTGATGATCTGTGAAACCTCTCTGTCACGATCTGAGATGGCTTCTAAAATCTGTGTAACGGTCTGCGATGGTCTCTAGAGACTCCATCTACCATAATACAGACAGCGACAGAGAAGCTCCACAGACGATCACAGGCCGTGGTAGACGGCCTACAGAAAGGAGCTTTATCGTGGTTCACATTTTAATCCCACAGGGATTCCACTAACCGCTTTTTGAGATGAGACACTCTCTTTTCGTTTCAAATTCAGACTGAAATTATATACCCCATTGTATGTAAAAATTGAGTATATTTATATGATTCCGAAGGAGTCTCCTGTTGTGTGTGCACAGTTCGAAAAAAAATCTCAATCTTCACTTTACTGGGAGCAAAAATTACAATTCTTCTTCTACCGAGAGAAAAAAGGATATCATACGTTTCCTAGTAACTACGACGAATCATTCGTTCCTTAAATACTGTATTCAGAATGATCGTATAAAATGCTTTTGTTTTATGTTCTGTTCTTTTTGTACAGTATATCAATCAAATATTCGGTTACTCGTACCCAAGGAGACAAAAAGTTTGGATATCGAGTTTAAGCACTCCATCGGGAACCGCGATTGCCAGTCATTAACGCTCATTATACAAACGCAAGAAACGCGTGTTTTTCACATGATTTTCACTTTCAGAGAGCAAAAACGGCTATGAACTACAACTATGAGCGTTTAAAGGCACAATTATTCTATAATTATAAAAGCAATGCGTTTAAATGCTGATCATTGTAGTTTATAGCGGTTTCTTGCGTTTGTTCAATAAAAATTGTCCCTTGGCGAGTATCCAACTGTTCGATTTCTTTGTTTCTTCTCAAGAAATTGTTGATTCGCTGTTTTCACTCAAAAAATCATATGATGGATAAAGACCTAGCCGGATTCCGTGAGTTCTAAACCCTTTAGAATTTCAGAATTCACGGAGCCCAAGGAAGTCGTACGAACTACCTAGCTCACAAAAATCTATTCACTTGCAGAGCTATCTCACTTCCCGACTGTTGAAGAAATATCATCATTTCCTCGAACAAATCCACATCTACAGTTCTTCACTTTTCCCAACACCCATAAGTGTCAATACATCAGTCCATAGGTGGTGGACCGATTAGGCTTGAGAAGGCTCATTTAATTTGAAAAAAAAGTTGTTGATCTCATCTTTACTCTAGGCAAGATTGGCAAAATTTCGATCAATTGTTCGTTAATATTTAGCTTATTGCTCATGAAGATTAAGAAAATGATAAAAAACCGATAACAAAAGACAAATACGACGCAGAATCTTGATTGGTGACAAGTATCGCATGAATTTTCAAAATGCATGTTAGGGTGATCGGTAGTAAATGTTTTTTATCTCTGTGTTTGTTTGCTCTACTCTCCTGAAATTCGTTTTATGATTTTGTGTTCTTATTGATCCTTTTCTGAAAAATAAATATTACAGTAATATTTTTCATTATTTTACAGGTTTTGAAAAAAGTAGAATCAGAAGTAAATTGTCCACAGACCAGCTATTAGTATCAGATTTGCTTTGTTTGTAATTTCACCTCTCATCATCCTCATCCTCTGAAAAAGAATTTTGAGCCTCCCCTAAATTGAAATTGTTCCGCCGTCGTTGTATCAGTCTCTACACACGCACATCTATTGATATCAGCTCAAGTCATAAACATTTGTTACAATGTAAAATCTACAGTAGTCTACTCTCTACCATGGAAACCACACGACTATATTTTACATCGAAACGGGCAAACATGAAAAATCAAATATCATATGTACACCGGTATTGTCACCCAACAACTTCATCGAGAAACTAGCAGCCACACATACGTTCTCGCCCACACCCTCAAAAATCCTGACGCTTTGAAAATCATCCCAAAGCGAAAGTAAAAATCCATCAAGCTGGCAGCCCATTTATAATTTAGCATACGGATAAAGATTTAGTTTTTCTATTTTATAAAATTTATAAATTAGTTGAATCGTTAGTGAGTCATTTTAATGCTGTATTCACATACGTATTTTATGTTTGGTTCAGAATCCGAATATGGACACGAAAGCTGAGTGATAACGTCTTGAGGGCGTGGGCGAGGGTGTGAGGAAAGGCGGACATACGCGCCTACGCACACACAAGTCAATTTATAGCTTTTATAACTTATAAAAACTAAATCTTTATCCTTGTCCTGAATTGTAAATGGGAGCGACGTTAATTTATAACTTTTATAACTTATAAAGACTAAATCATTATCCTTGTCCTGAATTGTAAATGCGAGTGAAGTCAATTTATGACTTTTATAAATTATAAAAACTAAATCTTTTTTTGACGGTGGCGTGAAAACATGCAGGCGTTTTTCTTTCATTTATATTCGAAGTCGAATTAGGCAGCTACAGACTTGATCTCCATCTTGAGGCTGTGCGCGTGGTTGAATTAAAAATACAGTCAGATCCCCACACCCACACCCGCTCCCAGAGAATCTCCTAATTGGAGACAAACTATTATTTTCCAAAGGATCTGATGGCTGTTTTCACGATAAACCCAAAGCTATAGTTGACTTTATGATTTCAGCGAAGAAATGCGGCATTATAATCGATATTTTTCTCAAATCTTACTTTTAATCATTGCAAAATGACTAAAAATGTACGTGTAGTATTGTCGCTTCACATTTTCTCGAAAAAAATATTTCAATGTGGAAAATGTGTTACCAAAGGTGATCGTTCAATTCGTCGCATATATAGGAGAGGTTACATTAATTGAATTAAGATATTTAGTGTAGAATGTTATTTAATTAATCACTCTGACAAATGTTTTTCTTCAGAGAATAATGGCTCTTTCTTGACAAATACTTTTTCTAACAATAGAGATT